AGAGGAGGTATTTCTTACCCCCATCTGAGCATTACACATTGTCTGCATTACTGAAATGTCCCGTTGCACTCTGTAAAGATGGAAAATGAAAAAAATAGGTGGAGAATCAGCTGGCCAGAAGGAGGAGAGGAAACCAAAGAACAATTATTTTCTTATTATTATTTCATAATGAGCAATAAAAAAGAACTTCCTTGATGATTTTAAAAACCACAAATTACATATGTCTGAGATATCAGTTACCCTGATCTGTCCACTACACATGGTACCCTTACTGAAATGTCACATTGCAGTCCATAAGTGTGTACAGTTACTATGTGGTGATTAAAACTGAAAGTATAGTTTGCAAAAATTAATGACTTTAAATTTTCCATTGCTGAGGATAGAGTGCAGTGGTTCATGTATGCTAGGAAACTGTTCTGCCACTGAATTACTGTAATCTTCCAGCCCGGAAAATTTTTTAATTTATTTATAATTCAGATGTATCGTAATTAGTGAGTCACTAAAATCACATGCAAAATCAACTAGTAGCCTGTGGGACCCATAGAATGGAATGGTTAAATTATATAAGTGGAACAACTATAGATATCAAGGCTAGAGAAATAAACAATAGAAATAAACCTAACTAGGGCCCAGGGAGATGGCTCAGTAGAATAAGTGTTTCCCTGGCAAGCACAAGGGTCTGAGTTCCATCCATGGTTAAAAAAAGAAAGAAAGAAAGAAAGAAAGAAAGAAAGAAAGAAAGAAAGAAAGAAAGAAAGAAAGAAAGAAAGAAAAGAAATAAACCTAACTGATCAAGGAGTAAAGAAACAGAAAATCCTATTTATCATTACTGCAAGTATGAACGTATCAACTTTTTTGAAGAATAATTTGTTATAATATAACACTGTTTAAAATAGTCATTTAATTCATCTCAGAAATTCTAAAAAAATTATCCTAAGAAATACATGTGCAAAGGTAATTATGGTAATGCCCACCCCTAATCCCAGCACCTTAGCAGGTTGAAACAAAAGGACCATGAGTTCAAACCAAGCCTGGGCAACTTAGGAAATTTAGACAGACCCTGTCTCCAAATTAAATAAAATAAATAGCACTTTTGCAAAAACCAAGAGATCAGAGAAACCAATGAGGAAAAAGAAAGATTTCAGGATTTTAGATGCACATCGA